CCATACAAGTTTGGTTCAGGTGGGGCTTATAGTTACTTGGGAATGGATCTGCTCCAAAAACTTTAACCTGGTCACTCATCTGGAAAATCTAGGTCAGATTCAGCATCCGAAGCAAGTGTGTAGTGTTCATCCCTAGATGCATCATCCATGAAAGTTTGGTCCAGGTAGGGCTTATAGTTACTTGGGAATGGACCTGCTCCAAAAACTTTAACCTGGTCACTCATCTGGAAAATCTAGGTCAGATCCAGCATCCGAAGCAAGTGTGGTAGTGTCCATCCCTAGATGCATCATCCATGCAAGTTTGGTCCAGGTAAGGCTTATAGTTACTTGGGAATGGATCTGCTCCAAAAACTTTAACCTGGTCACTCATCTGGAAAATCTAGGTCAGATCCAGCATCCGAAGCAAGTGTGGCAGTGTCCATTCTAGATGCATCATCCATGCAAGTTTGGTCCAGGTAGGGCTTATAGTAACTTGGGAATGGGACTTGCTCCTAAAACTTTAACCGGGACGCCGACGCTAACGCCGACGCCGACGCCGACGCCAACGCCGGGGGTATAGCATAAGCTCATCTCGACTTCGTCGAGGTGAGCTAAAAATTCTCCCATGGGATAAAGAAACAACAGTTTTAAACCAAATAAAGAAACTATTGAACAGTTTAACTACTATTAATTATTTATTTTCATTTAAGTTATGTGTTTCCTAAACCATTTTTTTTTAAATTTCTTAAAATTAACCAATTTTGGGGTAGGCCTAATGTTTAATTTTTTCAATGATTAAAGATCAAAAAATCAAAAGTGGTTTTATCTCTATAACTTTCATTTTTTTTTTTTAAGTAAAAAGGCAATTTCCCTTGTACCTTCTTTTATTCCTTGTATGTAAATTTTGAATGGGAAAAATAAAAAATGCAATTAAGAAAGAACAAATCTTTTTTTGTTTATTTTCCTCCTGATCATTTAGGTTAATTTATTGCATAAGTGCCATTTGTCAAGCTTTACAACATGATCAGATCCATTCACGTTGCATTGTTAGATCTTTGCCTGTTTGCTGCACTAAACTGATAGGTTTCCAATTAAAAAATCACATGAAATTGGGTCGTATCAGTCACTCTGAGATTCTTAAGAGAGTTTTAAAACTTATTTAGATGCACAAACTGTAATAATTTACCTAATTTTTACTTTTAATTTTCTTTGTATGATCCTGATCATGCCTTGTTTTGTTCCAATGACAGCTGGAAATTATTTTACACATAACGAACCCGATCTGACAAATGAACAGAAAATAATGTTGAAAAGAATTCAACCATCCTCATTATGCACATTTACTGGTAGTTTGCATTAAAAATATTTAACAACCTTTTCACTAATTTCAAAACTTTCTACCTACACCTTAGAAACATATCAAGAATTTTTGACAGTTCATTGAACCCGTTCAAAAATAAACATGATGAAAGGGCATGGATCCAGAAATATTTGCGGTGGTACTCTACTCATTGTTTCATATCATCCAGTAGAAAACAAGTTTTCCTTAGTTCTGTTACTTCTTTAATAAAAGCACTCTGCTGATCTTTTACTTGTTATGTTTGTTTAAAGTCCCTTTCGAGAATGTTTCACTCATATTGAGGCGCCATCATTTGCCGGTGGAGGCTGCAAATTTTTAGACCCACACTCGGCACTTAGGGCCATTGAACAGTGAGGGACCCTTTTCGTGCCAGCACTTAATGCGACATGGAACCTAGGTTTATAGTCTCATACGAAGGATCGGTCTCCACGTCCTGCAGTAGGCGTGCGTAGTACTTCACTTTACTTGGTTCGGTTCACGAGTTTGTATTCCACAGAATAAATTTAGGAAAAGCATGGGGGCATATTACAGGTACACTGTACATAGATTGGATGTCCTATTACAAAAAATAAAAAGAAACTTGAACTTAAATTCATTTTCCGTTCGAACTAAGAAGTACTCTATTTTCAGTTACACTCAATTACACTATATAAACACAACAATGCATGAGGATTGAATAATTGACAATTATTGACTATCAATCAAAAGGTATTTGAAAATGTTTAAAAATATAAATTCTAAAATCTGGAATAATTGTCAGTAACAACTGAAGTTAATCTATACATGTCACATTAACACTTATATATATATATATATATATATATATATATATATATATATATATATATATATATATATATATATATATATATATATATATATATATATATATATATATATATGTGTGTGTGTGTACATATAATTTCTAAAACCATAAAATTGGTATATATATATATATATATATATATATATATATATATATATATATATATATATATATATATATATATATATATATATATATATATATATTATATATATATATATATGACTGCCGTCACGAGAAAAGGACCCTTAAGGTCAAAATTTCACAAAGTGACTTTTTTGTAAATTTTGATAGACGAACTCTTTCTGAGTTCAAATATATATTACTTTTAAAAATATCTCATTTTATCACTATTTTATGATCATTTTAGTAAGGCGCTTCAAATCAACATTGACATTATTCATTGAAGACGGTATGACGTCGCATGCAAACCTTAAAAACACATGTAAACTTTGTACAATGATTTCTTCTTCCAAGCAACTACATGTACATGTAGATTGTCAATATTCAACCTGAAGTTGTTTTAAGTTTGTTATTACATGTGTAGAATTCTAGAAGCGGATTTATTAATTTCGAAAAAAAAAAGGGGGGGGGTCTAGACAGGATCTAGAAGTGGATTATTTTCATTAGAAAATATAATACATGTACTGTGCAATTATTTCAGTTTAGACATGTTATATATATATATATATATATATATATATATATATATATATATATATATATATATATTGATATTCTAGCTCAATTAAAAAATTTATAAAGCACTTGTACATAAAAAAATTAAAAATTACACAGATATTGCGGAGAAAGGGGATATCCAACCCAAATAAAACCTCATGTATTCTATGTATCATCGACGAATTTTAATTTGAACAAATATTCACACACGCGTTATGTTGTGTAAAATTGTTTTAAATAAGTTTAATCCGTTATAGTAGAAAATCATATATTGAAAAAAATGTTTTCTTTTTCCAAGATCATTTTTCTTTTGTATATGCTGAAATATATATATGTGTGTATTTACAATGCTTAATAATATACAATTTCATTTCTGGGTCTGCCTTAGTTATGGAGTACAAATAGGTAAAAAAAAAAAGAGAGAGAGAGAAAAGCACATAATCAAGTCTTAGGATTAGCACTGTCTTATAAAAGTTTATCCCGTATGTGAAAAGTGATACTTTTTGTCAACTTTTTTTTTGGTCTTTTTACAAGTAAATCACAATTTATAAAAACGCAATTATAAATGATTCTGCCCATTAAGGTATGGTTTGCGACCCCCTCCAAATTTTATTTTTTTGAAATTGTACATATGTCGTACATCAATTTGTTTGGAAAGAATAGCTTCATCATTTAACATCATCTTAAAAGATATTGCCCGTTGAGTAAAAGACGCCAAATTTGAGGTATTTGACGCTTTACATGTTCAATTATTTTCAATGAAAAAAAATGATTAATTTTATATATTATCATATTAAAATAATTAAAATGGCATGAATTATTTTATTTTATGCTTAATTTATCTTATTTTTTTATTTCTGTTACTGAAAATGTAAAAATTTGGGTTAAAAAAGAGGTTTTTTCAACTTTCCATAATAAAGTGAAACCAGTGCCATGACAACAAACAAGTAAAAATCACCATTATCTATATCTACCGATTCCACAAAAATCCAAAAAATTGTTCAATGGATAATTTTCATTACAATGGACTAAAAAAATATATATGTCCCCAACACCGTTTCCATGGAAACAGAGGCTATATAATGGGTTTTGTACATGAAAATCAGACCTTTTTACAATTTTCAGAAAGTGTACTCATCAAACTAAATTTTATATGAAATTGTTTTTTTGGCAGAAAATTGACCACAATAACACTCCTTCTATGCTACTAAATAGTAAATAATCAGTTCATGTGGAAAGACTCTTGGTATACATGTCCTACATAATGCACCTTTACAATATTATTGATGAAAAAGTCAATGGAATTATGTTTCAACACCTTTTAGAAATACCTGTATCTATAAACATGCTTGAGGTGTATACATGTACATGTAATTGTTCATCATGGTTTCTTAGCATGCTCCTGTTGGAAAACAAGTTTAAGTAAAACTTTTTGACCTTATGTTGATTTAATCATTTCAAAAGATTTCAACTACATGTATTAATTTCTAGGCATCCTTAGCTAATGTCTTTACTCATCTATGACTGGTGAGGCTTTACATGCTATCACTTCAGTGAAATGTTGCAGGCATTTTATCCAGGTAGCTGCTATCTTAACAACAGTAACAAATATCTACATATCAAACATTTTAATAGTCTGTTCGTTTGTTTGCTTACCCTCCCTTCAAGATTATTTCACTCTTATTGAGACGCCATCACTTGCCAGTGGAGGGCTGCAAATTTAGACCTGTACTCGACACTTATGGCCTTTGATCAGTGAGGGATCTTTTCCGTGCCAGCAAATGCTTGATACGGGACTTCAGTTTATATGGTTTCACCTGAAGGACTGGTCTCCAAGTCCCGCAGTGGGATTTGAACCCGCAATGCAAGGATCAACTCCTTTCCCTGTGATTCTAGAGCAAAGCTCTAACCACTGCACCATGAGGGCGACTTTGATCAGTCCCAGATTCTGGATAAATGCAGCTGTATGTAAGAAGACAATAACATTGGATTTCAAGTTACAAATTCATATTTTAATGAGTTTACAGTGCAAGTACTTCCGATTTCAGTCAAATTGTAAAATTCTGCGAAGTTATTACACTGTCATGAATATTAGACAAGAACAGGAAAAATATAACAATGCCATAATGACACAGATACATATTCTGTCCATTATCTATGGATATTTTACTACAACAATTTACATTAAACTTTACAAACACTTTTTGAATGCTACATAGAAACTTGTTAAGCAGACATATGCCACCTCCAATTAATACATCTGATGCATAAATTTATTTTACTGAATGCAAGTTCAAAGATGGAGAAGCAATGTACTATAATCATCTCAGACTCTTATTTTTTCTAAATATAAAGAAAACAGCTTATAGATAGAATGTTGTTGTGGAATCATTGTTTCCATGGATAACATTTATTGGGTAACCAGTCTCCTCCAAATCCTGGGCCACTGGTATTAGCATATCTGGTTCCACACCTTTGCTCGATCTTTCAACTTTCTTGAACATTCATGAGCTGGAATACGATGGTCTTTACTATAATAGATGGCACTGATGTTCTAAGCAAGAACTGAAGTACTTTTTCTGATTTATTTCCAATTAATGATCCATAATCTGAAATTGTGTGTTCATTTTCATATAATAAAAGGAATGAAAAAAAAATGAAATGAATGAATTTCCAACATACTCACTTTATAACTAATAATGGTACAACTATTATCAAAAATAAATGTATACATTAATTTATATAGATTGAATTAGATGAATGCAATTATATAAGCTTGATGAGCAAATTTTCTAAAACACAACCTAAGCAATGCTAAGATTAAATAGTCATGCATAATCTGGATCTCTTTTTATTTAAAAAATGAGATACTAATAAAAATAGAACTTCATTCACAGAAAGTATTTCCAGGCCCTCATTAAAACCATTCAATCTAAATTAAAACTATCCACATGGTCTTAGGAACTGGGGGGGAGGCATCCCCCCCTAATTTTGCTGATACATGTATATAGAACACTATACACTATAGAAAACATCGCTAAATATATGCTTGTGCCACCTAAATAATAACGTCTGATGACCTTTCATTTTTGCTTGCCAAGGAATTTTAATATTATTGGTAGTGCCCCCCCCCCCCCCCAACTGAAAATGGGTTTTGTTGTGCCCCCCCCCCCCCCCCAGCTGAAATTGCTTCTTACGGGCCTGATCCAGACTATACTAATGTATGTATCACTTGGTGAGGAAAAAATAAATACTGTACTTTAGAAAAGCTCACCTGTATTATGTCATAATTCCAACCTGTGCCAGCTGTCTCTATAAGACCCCATCAAAGGTTACTTCAAACTTAAAAAAAAATAATGAAAATAATAAAATAAAAAAAATTATAATGAAAATACTTATATTTAAATGTACCAACTGACCATGTATCTATTTTGAGAGAACCAGAATTTACCATGTCAGAGTAGGACAATCAACTGAGCTTAGCAATCAGTAAATCATAATCAATACTGGAACATATATAGCCAGTGCATATAAGTAAAAATAGGAAAAGTATTGACTGCGTGTCAACATGTGTGCCAACATATTTTCATAATGCTAATGTGCGTTACTCAATTAGTTTGCACACACCGTTGCAGTTATGAGACTATATCTTTCAAAAAATAATGATTCAATGCTTAAAAATCCCCCTCTTTTGAACCTACTTTTAAATCCTCCTTGAGATTATTAAATTAAAGTTTATGATAAAATTCATATTAAAATCTATCTAGGGAGAAAATCCATATGCAACATATAGATTTAGAACATTTATTTGTTTACTGCATTCAAGATTGATACTTTTTAAATGGATTTGGGCTTCATATCTTTTTCAGTGAGAACTAATTTGCATTGAAAATTAATGTGTCAATCAATAATTCAAACAATTTCATAAAAAAATAACTGATGAAAATGCTTTCCTGATTGTATTAAAAAAAATAGAGAGAGAGAGATGGAGAGAAAGAAAGAGAGAGAAATTTTAAAAAGTTGGATGAAAACTTTTTCTGCAGTGCGGGAATTAAAGTCACATGCACCTTATCCGATATTCGCTGAACATGTCACAATATAAACAGATAAAAGCAGGGTTTACAGTCAGAGGAAACTCGGATTAACATGTACTCTGATCTGTTCATTCATTCCTGTTTATGTCCGTTTACATGGTTTAGGTCATTGACAAAGTTCTGTAATCCGTAGTTGTAATACGCGATTATGAACTACAAATACTTAAAATTAACATTTAAATAATTACCTGTCTGATGCAACTATATCAAGCTGTCAAATACTCCATGACTTCTCTTCCCTGTTCGGAGTGCATACTGCATACACCACTCAGAGTGTAACAGGATCCTGGATGTTTCTTTCTTTCGTTCGTGATGTCATTTTAATATGATCAAGTGACGCGGTGAAGTGCATGATTTACAATACATCTGATTCTTTGCTCCTGCTGACTTGAATAACCGTGCAACTTGCGCAGTTCCGTATTGAAAATAAACTAGTGCTCTTTTATTGCGTCATCAATCGTGCATCACGCTAAGCATTTGTCCGCTAAATTCTTCTGAGATTCCTTTACTTTAAATTGCTAGGCCTATACGATTTTCAACTGGAAATGTGCTTTGTTTGTGTTCATCATTTCGGATTACTTCTAACGCCTACCGAAACGGTAGTATTCACAGCCGAAATTCATTAGTGATTGAATGCTTATTATTGCTGGTTTAAATTTCGCCGGTTTCAAACGCTCAAGTGATTCATAAGAGTTATCTCCCTGTAATCGCAAACCTTACCTTAATTTTTTCTCTCTTTGTTCACCCCTCCTTTGCTCTCTTTAATTGTTAAAACATAGTTTCAAACATTTCCCACTTTCCAACGCTACTATCACTCGCACACACCAAATGGTAATTCGTTTCTTAAAAGAGTCGCTGATGTAATTTTAAAAAGAAAATATTAAGGAGATTGATGTCTGTAATAAATGGTTCCTAATGTCTAAATGATTTAGCAATGTGCGATCATATTGCCACCTGCCGTGAGAACATCAAACCATGTTTTAGCTAACAAAAGCCGAAAGGTTCATGTTTGTTTTTTAATCCTTTTTTGTCAAAGTCATTTATTAACAAAAAAACCTTCCTTACATATTCCACGGCCATCATAGTTGAAGAAGTAGTAAAAGAATTCATTATATCTCTTTATACCTGTTCTATACCACCCCTTTTCTGATTGGTTCCAGACAGTTACGTGACAGGGTCTCTTTCGTCGTTATGCTGTTCGTCATATTCAATCACATCGAAAACCTTGTGCATTTTTTCCGCAATGCGTTTTAACGTTTGTGAAAGGAAAAATTGCAAGAGCAGCAAAAGTGACAATAAAAGAATGGGTACATCTACCAAAGATTTAAGTTTCAAAACGCATTAATTACTGAGCATGTGTTGGTTCAAGAGTAGTTTCATCGGAAATTGTCCGTTGCTTTTAACTGAAAGTATCCGTTTCAACGAAAAGGGTCCGTTATGCCTATACACCGTGTCTACCAAACAGTGACCAGAATAGCGATCTTCTCTATAAGAAGCATGCTTGGAAAAAAAAAAAAGAAAGAAAGATATGGAAGACAATCGATTTTTTAAAACTAAATGTGAATTTGAAAATTGTGCCGAATTTTAAAGCTTTTGTTTATTTTTAATATCTTTTTTTTTTTTTTGGATAACAAACAATTCATTGCATGATCATGAGGGAAATAAGAACATTAATTCAGCATTAATGCAATAAAATTCATATCCCCCTCGGGCGAAGACCTCGGGGAATATGATTTTTCTTGGCTGAAAGCTTTTCTTCCTCTTGCCTCATATTTGCCAGAAGATCATGCAATTATAATGCATGTAAGGAAATTATGGTTTGTAATATATTGAGCTGGCAGTTTGAAAGACAGAGACATAAATCAAGAAATAGTGCACTTTTTTGTGCATAATAAATATACTCTTTATTTCAATGAGGGACTCTATAACTCTCCGGTTGTCCAGTCCAATTTCCTTATGCAGAACAGCGAGCTACAGATCTGCAGCTACAAAGATGTATATGAGATCTCTCTCTCTCTCTCTCTTGCTAAAGCCATCACTGGTGCTCTTATTTTTTCATTTTTCCCATAATGCAGATTTCTTGATTGTCTTTTTTGAGCTTGCGATTGACAGTAATTTGGTTGATCTTTTTGAAATTTTCCGTATCATTTTGAATGACTCCCATGACCACCTGTTATTAGTATATACTTTTTTATCTATTAAAAGATGTCATATTGTCATTTATCGGAAGTAAATTATTTTTTGACAGCCTAATCAAATGTTTCTTTTGTTTCATACATATTTTCAAGAAAAATGTTACTATCGATGTAATTGTTATTTCTTCAACATTGAGTTATGCACGGGGGGAGGGGGGGGGGGGAGATCAACTGTATTTAATTCCTAAGCAAAATACAAGTTTATTTCAAACTGACTTTCATCGGAACAAAAACAAAATAGAGAAGAAAGAAAATGTTATCAAAAAATCATATTTTTATGCATCTTCATAATTATTTCAAAAATTATTATTTTAAGCAAATACTTGGCATTTTGAAATTCATTAGCACTTACGTGCAATTGGTTTATTGCTTTCCGGGATCGTGAAATTCCACCGTTCTTTATTTTTTGAGTTTTCTTACAAGTAAAAACAATGAATACGACAATACTGTAGAAAAAGATACAAAAGCGCTTTTAAAATATTTTAATTTTAGTTTTTGTGCTACATGTATATACACATGTAATAGTTATATGTGCGATTTCGAAACCTACATTATTACTAGAGACATACGCACAACACCTTTCTTTAGCCATTAAGCCAAAGAATCAAAGCAGAGAGGGACCACCACCACCCCCCCCTTTATTTTTTTTCCCATGAGAATATTCTCTTCCTGTTAATTTTAAGTACGAAATTATTTATTCAAAGGCTGCCCCATAACATCTTCAATTGTTGTAACAGGTTTAAATCTTCCATATTTCAGTATCTTTATCTTCACAAAAAGCGGGGCTCTCTTTATTTTTTTGATTCGAACTTTGAACGGATGTCCTTTTAATTTGGAGACTTTATTTCTTGTCATTTATGACCCCCCTCTTTTTGAAAACGACGGCACACTTAATGGTCTTACTGTGCTTATCGATTTGATGAACTATGGAAAAAAATCAAAATATGTCTCACAGTTTTATAAGTTTTCTTTCTGAAATAAGAAAGAGCTTTTAAGCAACGCGTATATATACATCATACTATATATTAGTGCTATCTCTCTCTCTCTCTCTCTCTCTCTCTCTCTCTGAAAAAATATACAAACTACCTTTTAGTATTAAGAATAATGAATACATTAATGTATCAGTCAAATATAAGCATTTGCCAATTGCAACATAGATAGATATCGCTATTAATCGCTTTACCTGACAATGTGTTCAATGTAGCGTTGGGGTTATGTACATGTAACATAAAATACATGTATTTACACAGATACATGATGATGAATTAAAAAAAATGTTCTAAATAGTAAAAAAATGTTATTTATTAAAATTGTCTGCTTCAAAATTCGCTTAACTTGATATTTTGTTACACCTGAAAATTAAATTTTGTTTCTTTCTCTCTACACGTGTATACAAAACGCGGTCGACAAAAAAAAATCACTTCCGTGTTTACAATACCGCGACTTTGACGTCGTTTTCTGAACATTGTGACGTCAAAAGATAAGGGCCCTTTTCTCATGACGGCAGTCATATATATATATGACGCGCCAAGCAAAAACCTCCCTTGGCTCTATTATGACGTAACGTCAAAAGACGCGTCTAAAGTCAACAATGTAAAAGCGACGTAAAACACCTCCTGAAGAGAATTGAGTAATGTTCCCTAGCAGTACTAGGGGATGTTGTTTTATTCATATGCTAAGGAAGATTCTTGGGTGTGGGTTGATATAGTGCATTCTTTAAGAAGTTAGGCTGCTTGCCCCCCCCCCCCCCCCCCACCATCACCACCGAGTTCCGTACCTCAAGGGTTGTAACTAAAGACCATTTTTAAAAAATTGTTTGTTTGCCTCTCCCTATTCGAGTTAAAAAAAAATTGCGTCGGTAGGTAGTTTGTCAGAAAGAACTACGCACGGTAACTCCCGATTCCCGCCTACATTTTACAACCATTTAATTCAATATTGATGACAATTTGGCCATAAAATCTTTGTTTAATACAAAGAACAGTTCAATGGTAATTGATTAATTATTTTAATTCCAGTGCTAAATAGTAAAATATCCCTAATTCCAGCTCTTGAAATAAGGGGGGTAGACGATATTTTCCACTGAAATCGGGCTATAAAGCATCACCATATTCTGAAATAGTCATGGATATGAATAAATGTTTCTTAAATCTTTTTCTTATGTTTTATGCATACAAAATTAAGCATATTTATTAGTAAAATATAATGTTTCAGTTGTAAAGCACTTGGAAATTGCTGAAAAAATAAGCATTTTTGTCGTTTTTTGTATATAAACATATGTCCCCCCCCCCCTCCGTGAAACACAAAAAACTTTGGTATGAATTTGTGAAATGGCAGTCCATATTACCCGTAAAAAGGAATTATTGTTTCACGGGGGGGGGGGGGGAAAGATGTTTTAAAAATATTTTCCGTTTTCCTTTGATTTCTATAGTGAAAAACACGAGTTTTACCAAAATTTTAGAGTTATCTCTCGTTGTTTTCCCAAAGAAGTGATGTTTTATGAAAATCCATATAAATATCAATATAAATATTAAAAAATCATTCGAATATCTTAACTTTTGAAAATTGACTTGGAGGTAGGCGGGAGAACAATACTATCGTTCGCAGTTCTTTATAACATCAATGTGAAATTTTCAACATCTATTATCTGAAATTAAAATAGTTGTTGATGGGATGAGAAAATTCCGGAATGAATAAAAAAAAAAATGTCTTCAGTTGGAGGTCTTAAAAGATTTTAGTCGGGCCATTTTAATCTGGTTGGTCGAGAGAGGACAAACAAACAAGTTTTTAAAGATATTTTTTAATTTAATGTCCAGTAGTTTCATCGTGAGGAGCATGCAAGAGAAATTAAACAAGGAGTATTAAACTAAAGAAGGTGTTTTGTTTTAAGTAGTGATGCAGTGGGGGAAAAATACCGTAATTCCTCTTTTAAAAGTTTAGTAAAAAATGACGAGAGGTGGACACTTCTTCCAAAATTGCTTTCTAGCTGTTGATTTTATATGAATATTTTGAAGAAAGGCCTTTTGAGCTTCTTAAATGGTGTTACTGTTGCATGGTTTAACATCCTCTCATGTTATTGTGTTTAAAAAAGTAGAAGAAATTCGGACTCCTCCCCCTCTTCTTCTG